GGTGGAGGGTCAGAGAAAAAGAGGAAGACCCCCAATGAGATGGATTTGCCACGTGGCAGCATCGATGGACTCAAGCGTGGCAACAGTAGTGAGGTTGGCCCAGGATCGGGCAGTGTTTCGTTCTGCTGTGCATAGGGTCGCTATGGGTTGGTACCGACTTGATGGCACCTAATACAACAACATCCACTGATCTTTCTTTTTTTGGTGGTGGTGGGGTGAACAAATACGTAGGTAACTCTACAATTGCTACATGGACAACGCAGCGACGCTGGTTGCATTTGTCAAGTTGTGTGAACGTCCTCACTATCTTTCGCTTTATTCCACCACCATGAACATAGACCCTCAGTGAGCTCTTTCTTGATCACCCTGCTGGTGGTACAGTGGTTAAGCGCTTGGTCACCAACCGAAATGTTGGCAGTTTGAACTTACCAGCAGTTGTGTGGGAGAAAGAGCTGACAGTTGGCTTCTGTAAAGATTTACATCTTTTTACAAAGATGGCGCCGAAAGCAAAGCAGGCAGCTCCTGCCCCTCCCAACACGGCAGCCACAGCAAAGGCATTGAAGGCCAAGGAGACAGTGCTGAAAGGGTCCGGAGCCACAAAAACAGATCCACATGTCACCCACCTTGTTAGCCTAACACACTGAGGCTCCGAAGGCAGACCAAATATCCTCAGAAGAGCGCCCCCAGGAGAAACAAGCTTGACCACTATGCCTTCATCAAATTCCCTCTTACTACAGATGAGGCTTTCTGCTCCCGTAAAGATTTACAGCCTCAGAAACTCTGTACAGGGTCGCTATGAGTCAGTTTCAACTCCATGGCACATAACCACCACCACCACCACTGAGTCAGCCAAGAGGCAGATTGAAGATAACACACATTTGTGTTCATTGTGGAGGTCGAGGCCAGCAAACACCAGATCAAACTGGCTGTGAAGAAGCTCTGTGACATTGATGTAGCCTTGACCAGGCTGATGGAGAAAAGAAGGCATTTATTCCACTGATTCCTGACTAGGATGCTTTGGATGTTTCCAATAAAATTAGGATCATTTAGACTGAATCCTGGTGTGGCGTTGCATGTTAACACACCGGACAACAAGGATGGTTTGAACCACAAGGTCGGCGGTTGGAAACTCTATACAAGGTTACTTTGAGTTGGAATCAACTCAATGGCACTTAACAACAATAACAAACAGTCCAGCTAGCTAACTCTAAATATAACTTTTTTTAATACAAAAAAAAAAAAAAAGATTTACAGCATTGGAAACTCTATGAGGCGATTCTACTCTGTCCTCTAGAGTAGCCGCTATAAGTCAGAATCATAGATTGCCAATGCTCCATTAACTCTCAAAAATGTCCTGTTTGGATGTCGGGTTCATGCTAGTGATGTTGGCCCAGGATCAGGCAGTGTTTCGTTCTGCTGTGCATAAGGTTGCTATGAGTTGGCACTGACTTGATGGCACCTAACAACAACTCTATATAGCTAGTATATTTTGTTGACCATGGAAATTCCACAGAGGCAAAGATGTTGATCTGTTGGTTGTCGATTGCTGTTTTGCCCGTGCCTGCATCACAGCCTGACACATAGTAGGTGCTCAGTAAAGCATTGTTCACTAGTACGGCTTCCTGGTTGTAAACTGTGTGGTCCATGGGCCCTCTGCCTAGAAGCTGAGCTGCTAGCATCTTAACTTGCTTAATTTGCTAACAAGGGAAGTCTTCATTTTCACTGTACTCGACCCCACAAACTCTTTAGCCAGCCCTGATGATGTGTGTTCCTAGGCACTGTTGGAAGCTCTCGACTTCCTAGAACAACTTTCTACTGTGGTGTTGTCATCCCCAAGTTACAACAAAGGAAACTGAGGCCTGTCCAAGCTTATGCAGCTAGACAGTGACCCCCCCGCCCAGGAGTCCTGGTTCTGGAATGTGGGATCTTAACTCTTTACTTGACTATGACTTTATTGAGCACTTACTGTGTGCCAGGTAGTAGGCTAAAATCTTAACATTCTTAACTTCCTTCAATCATTGAGGTAGAATTGAATGTACCCATTACACAGACAAGGAAACTGAGACTCAAAGATGTTACTGCTAGGTAACTTCAGAGCTGGGATGTTTCCCAGAGGCTGGCAGTGGGACAGGCAGAGGTAACAGGGGCTCAGCCCCCACCCCAAGGGACCCACCATTTGTCATTATTGATCTGGTCCCCGAAGCCAGGTGTGTCGGTCACAGTCAGTTTCAGCTTCACGCCCTTCTCCTCAATGACTGTGGAAGGAGAGCAGAGGAGGGAGATTGGACCCTGGAGGGGAGGCTTCTGGTGGGGTGAGGCGGGGCTTACTCACCGTGGGTCACCGACTGCAGCTGCAGTGTTTGGGGCGTGGGCCCTCCCAAGCCCGGTGGGGTGGACTTCCACACTTTGGACTTGAATAGCGTGTTCACCATGGTGGACTTGCCTAGCCCGCTCTGCCCTGTGAATCAACCATGATGAGAGGAAGAAAGGTGGACGTTGCAGGTGTTGTGTCTCCAACTCTTAAAAGTCTGGTTAAAGTGAATGGTCTGCAAGGCATACCCTAAGCACCCAAGAGCACACCCAATCCTAAGTGTCCAGTCCGGGTAAGCAGAAGTGTCTGCACGTCCCCCACCTGGTCTCCGCCACTCCTCATGGGCCTGACATCCACATCTAGGCGTTCTGCCTGCCTTTGACCTTAACTTCCTCAAAACCACACAGTACATGCTGTCGAGTGATTATGTCCTGTAACGTCTCTGTGGTGTTTCCGAGTCCCCTGTACCTGTGAGGTGCTATGAACACACCTACTGAATAGAGAGTCTCTGGGTCTGACCCTCACTCACCCACTACCATGATGTTGAACTCAAACCCCATCTTCATGGCTTTGATCCTCAGTTGATCCAGCACGGCCTCAATGCCCACGTAACCAAGCATCTCACAGGGCAGGGGTCTGGGACTGGGGGTCCGTGAGGAGCAGGGGGACAGGGGCTGTCTTGTGGGGTCCATGGGGCCAACAATGCCTGTCATCCAGGTGTGGTGGGGAGACCATTAGGGGAAAATTCTGAGTCTTCCTGCCTGTGAGTGGGCACCCATGTCCTCTGACCTGAGCCCCCACCCTGAGGTGCACCCACTCCAGAGACCCGGCCCCTTGTGCCTACCCCTGCTCTAGACAGGGCAAGGACTTCCAGATTAGGCTGACTCCCATTCCACCAATTCCCCCAGCACAGAGGTCAGGGGAAGACCAGGGGGTTTGGGAACAAGGGGATCTAGCTCATGGGTCTTGGGCCCCGGGACACATGACAGAGGTGGGGAGCCAGAGAGATCCCAGTAGATGTGGAGAGTGACGGGAACAGGTCTCAATAGCCAGAGGGTCTCCCAGGGAAGTGGGGCTGAGAAGCCAGAGACAGACAGACAAAGGGGTAGAAGCAGCAACCTCTGGGTGCACCTGGCAGTTCAGGTCCTTTGGGAGCTGCCCCTGTCCAGCAAGGCCCTGGTTTGTGTCCAGGGGGAAGGCAGAGGGTGACAGTTATAACCGAAGAATCTGAACTCCACCCCCTTCCTGTGGCCCCCACCTGGGGGTTCCCAGGCCCAGCAAGGGCAGGGAAAGGGTAAGATGACCCCCCAGGCCTCCTTGGGACATAGTCCCACTAACTGTCACAAGCACTACCCAAGTGATGTGAGGACCCTGTTTGCAAAGGACCCCGAGACTCCCTTGTCCAAGGTCTCCTGGCAGAGCTGGGCTGCTGAGGTCTAAGCTCACACCCCTTAGCCACTCTGCCAGAGGAGGCAAACTTGCCACTCACAGGCCAAAAGTAGAACATGGTGCATGTTCTTTGGCCAGCGTTGGTGTCAGAGTTAAAAAGGACGGCACTGATAAATTAGGGGATGGTTTGAACAAATGTTTACCCGGTGAGCACTCTGCCTTTAACATTATTTTGGAAACGAAAGGACATGAAGTCCTGTAAGTGCTGTGACCTCCGCACTTTACAGATTAAGTGGTTGGGGGAGTCACTCAATGTCACACAGCCAGGAAGTGGAGAGCTGGGATATAAACCTGGTCATTAGGAGTTCAAAGTCTCACCTTTTTACTGTCTTTTTTCTTGTTCATGTAAAAACCTAGATTTCCAAAGCATCTGCAAGTGTCATAAAGACTGGCAACTCTAGGTCCAGACCCCTGGCTAGCTTGTCCTGCCCCCTACTGATGGCTTCCCACCTTGTCACAGTCCTCACCTGACCCTATCATTTCCCTACCTTTAGTTGTCCTTAGGTGTCTCAAAACGAAAACACTGCCTGGTCTTGCCTCATCCTCAGTCGCTACAAATGTTGCAGCCACTGTGCCGGTCCATTTATTGAGGGTCTTCGTGTCTTCACTGACCCTCCACTTTACCAAGGATGATGTTCTTCCCCCAGGGACTGGTCCCTTCTGATCACATAGCCAAATCATTCTCGCTTCTAAGGAACGTTCTGGCTGTACTGCTTCCAAGACAGATGTCTGCTCTTCTGACTATTCATGGTCCATCCAAATATTTCTCACCAACCCCATCTTTCAACACTAAGACATTTCACATACCAAGTCAGGCTAACTTGCTTGTTTGCTATTCACCTATTTCCTGGTACCTGAATTTGCAAGTCGGTTTGAACCACAAGGTTGGCGGTTCAAGCTCACCAGCTGCTCCTCGGAAACTCTGTACAGGGTCGCTATAGGTCAGAACTGACGTGATGGCACTTAACAACCACCACAAAGTCTTCCTCTGCCCCAGGGGTCAGCAAGCATTATCTTACAGATGGCTTGTTAATAGCTACGTAGATTTGGCTCCAACTCGCAGAATGAAATACTGTCTGGTCCAGAACCATCTATTGAGTTCATTTTTGCAGCTATTGTGTGTCGTTCCTTCCAAGCCAAGGGGGCTCATCTTCTAGCAATCTGTCAGACAATGTTCTCCTGTGACCCATAAGGTTTTTTATTAGCTGATTCTCAGAAGCACATCACCAGGCATTCCTAGGCCACCATGCGTGGTTCTGCTGGTATATGAAGTACTAGTAACAGAGCCTCTGTTATCCCAGTAACATACAAGTCACCACAGCAAACAATCTGATAGACAGATGGTGGGTAGGGTTCTCACCAACAGCTGCACTGCCAGTGAGTCAGTTCCGATTCATAGTTACCCTATGTTGTTGTTATGTGCCCTCAAGTCGGTTTCAACCCATAGCGACTCTATACATAGGGTTTCCAAGGAGCAGCTGGTGAGCTTGATTGTAATGAGCAAATGACTATTGACCTGTCTGTTGTTTAGGTAACAGGTGGGTTCAGGTCCAGATTTGAAGGGTGTCAAAGGGCCACAGCCTCAAGTCTCCACCAGTCTCTCATCAGACCATGGATCCATTTTCAACAGTGAAATCTCACAAGCTACAACTCCACAGCCGAGCGACTGGACAAGTCATCAGTCAAGGGAAAGCAGATGATGGAACAGCTCTAGAGAGGCATGGGCTCGCCTTGAATCCAAGTACATCCCACTTCTGGGAGTATCCCCAAGAGGAAAAAAAGTTCTCTTTACAGAAAATCAGCTTTCTTTAGGAAAATCCTCCCAGGAGAGTGATCTAGAACTCTGAGAACTCGGGGGAGGCAGTTTCAGTGGCGGGGTGGACAGGACCCTGGTGGCACTGTGATTAAAGCACTTGGCTGTTAACAGGTCAGTCAGTGGTTCCAACCTAAGAGCCGTTCCTTGGCAGAAATGTGTCTGGCAGACTGCTTCTGTAAAGATTTACAGGTTGGAAACATTACGGGGTGGCTCTACTCTATCCCACAGACAGCATCAACAAGATGGCAATGGTTTCTTTGGTTTTTTTTTTTTGGGGGGGTGCATCCAAGTACAGGCTCAAAGGTGATTTTGAGACTCAGGTACGCAGGAAGCCCATGACAACTGGGAAAGGCGCTCTTGGTTGTGCTACTGGGAAACAGAAGGTAAGATGATCTGAGCTGGGTGACGAAGCAGGCCAGCCCAAACACATACAGAGAACAACAGACAGGAGGTAATTGTAGCCGCAAGCTGGATCATAGCAGTGCATGACCACTGATTTTGATCCGCTAAGCATTGCGGGAAGGAGGCTTTCAGGTGGATGATTTCATTGAATCTTCATGGCAACCCTATGAAGTGGGCACTTGTACAGATGAGGAAAGAGACTGGGATCAGGGACAATACCCAAGGTCACACACAGATGCGTGTTAAGGGCTGGACCCATGTGGTATCCACCCTAGCCACTCTCTCCTATTATTGCTTTGTTGGGGCTAAGAAGCGCACCAGGGGTTCTAGCAAGGAAATGGAATCGCTTCTTCTGTCTCCCTAAGGAACACAACCCTGCCCACCCGCTTTAGACTTCTGATCCTCAGAATCCACCTGCAACAGGATGTTCACAGCACCAACTGGATACTGACACAGGAGGGGATGGTGGTGAATGATTTGCATTTGTTGTTGAGAACTGCTCAGGGCCTCAGTTTTCACATCTGTCAAATGAGAACCGCAGCAATCCCCACAGTTGGAATTCTGGTAATGCACACGCAGTGATGGGCACAGAGCCCGAGATTAGCTGGTGTTTGTTTTTTATTTTCCTGCTAAACCATGTGGACCATGAGGGCACGGGAACTGTGTCCACTAAGTTCACAATCATACTTCAACTCCTGGTGGGCCTCACACAGGTGTGAACCCAGAAAGGCATCCTGGAAACTGTCTCCCCTGGGGAGGGCAGGAGCCCGGGTCTCCAAGTCCTGGGGAAAGAGCTCATATATATAGGCAACCACCACCCTTCAATCACGAGAATAAAAGTCCAGGAAAGATGCCCCCCCGCAGGATGCTGGCTCAAAGCCAGCAATGTCCAGCGGCCCAGGAACCTGAACCCAAACCCAAACCCAAACCTGATGCCGTCGCTCTTTGGGCAGAGCAGGCCCAGGCGGCTTTCCAAGTCTAATCTGTATAGAGGTTCACAGCCCCTGGATGTGCTTAACCACGGTACCACCAGGGCTCCTTTAAGGAATGGTTGTTGCTGTTAAGTGCTTTAAAGTCACTTTCGACTCATAGCGACCTTTACAGGGTGTCCAAGGAGCAGCTGGTCGGGTTTGTGCCACTGACCTTGTGGTTAGCAGTTCAGTGTTTATCCTACAGCACCACACCAGAACTCAAGGAACCGTAGTGTAGTGTAAACAACCTTTCTCTCTCCCTTCTTCCTCCCCTTCTCTGTCTGAAGTCCACAGCTGCCGAGTACTTTTGGAGTTCCTGGCTGTTTGAAGTATTGAACAAAGCTGAACCCGTGACCCTGAAATGTAGATGCTGACCGCCAGAGGCCCCGCAGCATGGCCTCCTGGGAGGCAGGTGCACACCTGTTGGGACTGGGGAGGGCAGCACTGGGCCCCTCCTCCACCTCGGGCAGTGCAGGTTGTCCCTAGAGAGGGGCGGGCCTGGTTGCCAAGGTCTCAGGTGGCTGAGGACCCGGAAGCAGGAAGTGGGTCTGTGATTTCAGGCGCTGCCAGGCTTCTAGCTTCAGTGGCAGGTAGGGGGGTCTGAGGTTGGGACTACAAGATCGGGGGCTGCGGAGGGGTTACCCAGACCCGGGTCAAGATAGGGACCAGGAGAGGAGGGGCTTAGGCCTGAACTGGGTACAGGAGTGAGACCACAGGTAAGTGTTGGGAGTGGGCTGCAAGGGGTTTGGACAGTATAGGTCAAGGGTAGAGGCAGGACACATGTCTGAAGTGGGGGTCCTGGGAGGAAAGTGAGGCTGGGGCTGGTGCCAGACAGCCGTGTGGCCAGCCCCTGGAAGAGTGCAGGGTTCTGAGGTGGTCCTGCTGGTGGGGGGGCTGGGACAGCAGCGCATCGCTGGGATGGCTCCATCAGCGGAGGATTTTGGGCGGGAGCTGGAGGCCACGGCCCAGGAAGTGCTGGGGAGATTGCAGAGCCGACAGCTGTTCCAGTCCCCGTGGGACACGGCTGCCTTCGTCGTCTTCTTCACCTTCGTGGGTGAGTATGGCCATCACCTCCTGCCCTGCCCAGCAGCCCAAGTCCCGGCCACAGAGCCATAGTCCCCCCCCCCGTCCCCAGGCACCGTGCTCGTCCTGCTGCTGCTGGTCATCGTCCGCTGTTGCTGCTGCTGTAACTCCCCCAGGTCCCAGGTGAGCCCCGTGAAGGTGAGCCCGCTGGGAGAATGAGGGTGGCAGCAGGCGGGTGCTGGCCCTCCTCTGGTGGGCGCACCACAAGGCCCCTGTATGTCTCCAGCAGAGGAGCCCCAAGGGGTTGGACAACTTGGCCCTGGAGCCCTAAGACGACAAGTCCCTGCCAGTCCTTCCTGTGTCCTGCCTGGTGCTGGTGGTGGCAACGGCAGTTAGAACACCTGGAGCCGAACCTTTGGAGCGGGAATGGCACCCCCGCCCCCCATGGTGACTGACCGGATCATAGGAACCTGGTGCTGAAGGACTTGAAGGGGCTGGGTGGACCCTCCTAGCTCCTGGGAGGGGAGGCTGGGAGTCAGGGAACCCTGTCAGTGTGAGTGTGGGGATCCTGGGCCTTCACAGAAGGACAGACTGAAGGGCTCCAGGTTAAGTCTAATACTCTTTATTTCTCAGAGACGAGGGGGCAAAATAAACCCAGTCAGCAGCAGCATCAACGCATGGCTGAACTACCACCCCCCCTCCCCACTTCCTTCACACCAACCAACCTGTGGTGGAAGGGAGGGGTTGTCCAATGGTCCAAAGTTCCCCTTGGAGGGCAGGGCTTGGAATGTGGGCTTCCTCGGCAGTCTGACCACCCCAGTGGCCGAGGCCCCAGGCAGGGAGGGTAATAAATAGTAGACAGTCCTCAGTCTCCTGGCTCCAGTGGCCCATGGGGGAGGGGAGGGCAGAACTGGATGCCCTGGGTCTTGGTCCCAGGGGTGGGAAGGGGCTTCAGATGCTCTGCTCAGAAGGCTCTGTAGCTCCAGTAACTGGAGAAGACGGAGATCTGGGGGTGCAGGATGTGGTTAGGGGGCAGTGTCTCCACACAGAGCCCAGCCCAGGGCAGTGTGGGTGTGTGGGGAGAGGGATACTGGAGGCTGCCGTAGGAGCCCTTGGATCTGCCCCCGACCCACCTTATCCTTGAGTTGCTGGCAGAGCTGCAGGGAGACCGTGAAGAAGACCAGGGCGTCGTTGAGCCAGGGGATCACACACTCCACTTTGTGCACGTGGCTCACCTCCAGACGCTGGGAGCCCCACTCACTGTCGGCGGCATGGGGTTCCTGAGGGTGGGTCTGGCTCACCCAGGCCACCTCCAGGGTGTTCCCCAACCAGGGCCACATACTCACAACATGGCTCCTGGACTGTGGAGTACAGCGCCTCCGGCAGGGCGGAAGTTCTAGGCAGAGGAGTGGGCAGCGCTGTCACGCCTGCCCAGCGTGAGGCCAGGTGTATGGGGTGGCTGAGTGTGTGTGTGTGTGTGTGTGTGTGTGTGTGTGGCCCTCACCTTGTTGGAGATGGGCTGCAGGGGATGGGGTGACTGTGTGCGTGTGTGCGTGTGCGTCAGGGGCCCTCACCTTGCTGGAGGTGGGCTGCAGGGGATGGGGTGACTGTGTGCGTGTGTGCGTGTGCGTCAGGGGCCCTCACCTTGCTGGAGTTGGGCTGCAGGGGATGGGGTGACTGTGTGCGTGTGTGCGTGTGCGTCAGGGGCCCTCACCTTGCTGGAGTTGGGCTGCACGGGGTGCAGCTGGTACATGGTGAGGCAGAGCTTGTTGAGGTTGATGTAGACGTTCACCAGCAGGTCCGAGGGCAGGGCGGGGGCGAACATGCGCTGTGGGAGGCACAGCGGCTAGTGGGTGCAGTGGACTGCCACAGCAGACCACCGTACCTCATCCAGCAGATGTTCCTGCCATGGGCTGGACAGAGCGAGGATGCTGTACCCCTGTGTCCCCCAGCACCCCCTGGAGTGGGCATCATTGAGTCAGGGTTGCAGGACGGAAGCCAAGGGCCCCATCCCACAAAATCAAGCACAACTACAATTCAGGGGTTCCAGGCCCTGTGTTCCTTGCAGGGTGGGGCTGGCTGGGGGCACTGACCGTGAGGCCACTGGCGGCGATCTCGGGTAGGGTGAGGGTGGCCGGGGTGGTGAGTCGGTTGCGGGCTCGGGTCAGCTGCAGCATCACAGCGTCCATTAGCTGGAGGAAGGGGGCGGGTCATGCTGTTGCATCTGCTCCCGTCCCCCCATATCTGAGACTGTACCCCAGAGACAAGGTCATGGTGATTTCTAGTTGCTGTCCTGGATGGCCCCAGTTCCCAGCCCCTGACCCCCTTTCAGGGGGCTCGTAAAAGATACAGACAGCTTTAAGAGGGACTCTGAATGCCATCCAATGGAAAGTTTTGTCCCAAGGGTGTCAGCGCTTAAGACGGGCCCCTATCCAGCTGGGTGCAAGTGGTCTGAGAGGGCTTCCCAGAGGAGAAGGCAGTTGAGTCCTAAGGTGACCGCACCTCTTACCTTTATAGATGAGAGCATGGAAGCTCAGCAGCCCCCGTGTCTAAGGCCACACAGCCAGTGAACAGGGTACCATTTGGAGCCCCTCCTCCTTCAGCCCTAGCTCACCTCAGAGCTAGGGGTTTGGCTACTATCTGACTGTTGTTGTAGGCACTGGAGTGATCTGACTCTAGGGAGACACCAGAAGAGCTGGGGGGTCAGGGAGGACCCAGGGCGGCACCTCCTACTCCTTAGGGTGTGTCACGGTTCTGGATGGAAACCTTAGTCTATCTGATCCCATTTTCTTAAAAATGAGGAATCAGAGACCCAGAGAAGGTCAGTGATCTACCTGAGGACACACAGCAAGTCAGGGTAGAAAGCAAGCCTGAGGACAGGTGTCTGACGCCAGCTTCCCCAGCACACGGAGCTGGTTCACGCTATTGTTACTGGAGAGCTGCTACCCTGATACTGACCATCGCTCTAGCCAGCTCTCCTTTTACAGGGGAGGAAGTGGTGCCCTACATGATTTGAGGCCACACGGCTCACAACTGACGCTTACTCCAGAACCTGGGCTGGGAACCACATCCATTCATACTTTGAGGGATGAAGAGTCCACGTTCAGCTGAGCCTGAGGATGTGGTTCCAGGCCCAGGAATCTAGGGCTCTCAGACAGTCCTGTGGGAGGAGTTCTCTGAAGGCCCATTCAGAGCGTCTGCTCTCTTGTTCCTGTCAGTAGCTTACCTTGAGGACTTCTGCTCCCGTCCTGAACTGGTAGCCTTCGTCCCGGTTGGTGAGAAGGTAAACGGCTTGGCTCACGTGGTTCCTGGCGTCCTGGATCTGAAAACAGTATCCCTTGCATGGTCACTTGGGCTGGGCCTTGGCTGGGAGAGATTGGGGTGCTGGGCCCTCGTGCCCACACAGCATGAACCCCATACACTGAGGGCCTGTCCTCCTGGGGAGATGCGATGTGTGCTGCCTGGCGGGACCAGTTTACCCAACCTCTCACTCTGAAGCTGTGAGCGCTGTGCCCTCCAAGGCCAGGCCCTGGTTGTGTGCTGAAGGTCTGTTTTCCTTAGAAATATGTTAAGTAACAAGTGTTGTAAGGTGGGAAAAACTGGGAAGGGGGAGCCTGTCTAGGTCAAGGGTCCCCAGTGGGGAGATGTGAGCTAAGATCATGTGATGAGAAAAGCTGGGGGACACTGGCTCCAGCAAAGGAGCTCCCACAGGCGAAGTCTCTGGTTTGGAGCCCAGGGCCAAAGAAATCAAGCTGGGAAGATGGGACCAGGGCCAGGGACCCTATGTGAAGGAGCTCTATGAGTGATCACCCCAGCTGGGTGGGCCCACAAGCAGGCAGCATCTTCCCAGGTTCCACGTGGCCACAGCCTCTCAGAGCCAGGGCCTGTCCTCAGAGGCCCCTGGCCCAAGACCCAGCCCAAGGGGCCTCCACACCTGCTGTAGCTTCCACTGTTTGTCCTCCCGGAAGGCAAAATGCAGCAGCTGGTTGTTCCGTGGTATCTTCAGGTTCACGTCCTACCAGATAGAACTGGGGATCAGTCAGGCGGAAAGCAGGACATTCTTCTGCCTTTGGTCACCCTGAGCCTTGGGGCTGGGCGCACAAACAGGAGTGTATGGTGGCTGACAGATAAAGGGTCGTGCAACGCCCTGGTCATATGGAGGATGAATGGGGAGGTCGGGGAAATGGGAACTCAGACCCAAGAGGTGCCTTGAAGATATGAAAGAGCAGTGAGAAAGGGGAACATGACCTTGGCTGGGGGGAAGTAGTAGGGAGCAGCTGTTAGCAGCCAAGAAGGTCAAGGAATGTGGTGCTGGGAACGTGCATCTGGTGCCAGATTGGGTGCAGAGCTGGCCCCATCCCGATGTCTAATATCAGTCTAGGCTGCTGTTTACAAATGAGGAAATGGAAGCCCAGAGAAGGCAAGCATTCTGCCCAGAGCCACAAAACAGAGTTGAAATAAGCACGAGACACTGTGCCCCTCCCTGGTGACAGATGAGCAAAGGGGGGTGGGACTCACCGCCTGGCTCAGGGCATCCCCTTGGAGAGTAAGCACACCTTTCACCTGGTCTGTTCTGTAACAGATGGGGGGTCACAGGATGAGGCATGGCCATGCCTCCTGCCCCCAGAGGGTCTTCCTAGAGTCCCCAGCCCGCGATTTCTGCCCAGCCTGGACTCACCCACAGCTGCCCAGGATGAAGTTCTCCTGCTTTGCTGGTCCCTCAGTGCCAGAGAGCGTGAAGCGTAGCGAGGCCTCCTGCAGGACAGAGGGGAGAAGAAGTAGGGAGAATTCACAAACAGAAGAAACTTTCCCTAGCCAGAGCTGTGAGTGTGTGTGTGTGTGTGTGTGTGTGTGTGTGTGTGGCTGGCTTTCAGGGAACCTTGGGGTGGCTCACAGTGTTAGGTCCCATGGTCCACCTGCTCATTTCACCTTTGCGGAGTGCCTACTGTGTGCCCAACACAGGGACCCAGGACCGGATGGGCTCAGCAGAGGTGCTGGGACAGAGAGGCAAAACCAAGAAATAACAATGGTAACTGTAAGCAACAAGTCAAGGCCTTGCCAAGCTCTGGGCTAGATGTTTTGGGCTGTGAGGAGCTCATTTATCTTCAAAACAGCCGTGGAGGCAGGCTCTAGTATCTCCTCTTTGCAAATGAGGAAACGGGAGGCCAAGACAGAGCTCTAACACATGAGAGGTCACACAACTCCAGAGAAAAAAAATGGAGTCCTTCACCTCTCAGATTAGATGTCAGCTCTTTAAGGAAACCTCGCCCAGAAGCTCAGGGCGACATCAATTTTCCTCCGCTGGGCTCAGCAACCCCTGCACACACTTACTGCTCATGCCCACAGGGTATTCTACGCTATAATTTGCACGGGAGCCACAATGTCAGGTTAACACCCACCAACTAGTTTCTCTGTGTTAGAAAGATGCGGCTGCCTCCTTCCTGCTGCCGAAAACATTTGCAGCCTTGGAAACCCTATGACGCAGTGCTCTGTCCTACAGGGTTGCTGTGAGTCAGAATCGACTCAATGACCGTGGGTCAATCTTTACGGCCACAGATCACCAGGACTTTCACTCGCGAGTCGCTGGGTGGGTTAGAACCTCCGCAGGCTAGTGCTTTTAATCACAGCTCTTGCGTGTGTCTCCACTGGTGAATGCGCATAGAAAGGGCCCTGTTTGACCGCCGAGAAGAGGAAGAGACAGGTGGTCCGGGTGGTTGGTCAGAAGGCATTACCTTGAGGATGTCCTGGAGCTGCCGGAGAACCGCGTGCACTTCATCGTGCAGCAACCAGCGGAACTCTTCCTCCTGGAGGGAGAGAACGCGATCAGCGGCCACCCAGACTGCCGGCCCGAACCCTTGTACCCCTGGCCCGATACTGGCCCCAGGTCAGGGCCCGGCCCTCGCACCAGCACCGCGCGCTCCGCTGCCGTAGCTGCCATCGCTGTCGCCATAGCTTCTGCTGCCGCGCGCCCTGTTTAGCCCACTGCCGGCAGGCCGGTCCCACCCCTACTGTGCTGCCGGTTGGCCAAACGGGCGCAACAGACGATTGGTCGGCGACCGCCCGACTCCTGACACCTCGGAATGAGACTGGCGACTGCGCAGCTCAGACTCTCGCAAAGCGGCTGCGCGACCCCGACTCGCGCAGGTTTGTTCGAGATGCTGCGGGCTCAGAATTTACTCCTGTTGTGGGCGGGAGCACAACGGCAGTCGGGCCCGCCCCTCTCCAGCTTTGATAGGGTGCCCCCCCACTCGTATCCCGTGATTGGCTAAGGAAGGTCTTGGTTTTGCTACGCCTGACGATTGGCCGCTAGGCGCCCTATTGGGCCCGAGCTCCGTCCCAGTCACGCGCGCCTCCGCCCCCACCGACCCGCACAGCTGTTACCAAGAAATGTTTTATTTTTCTTGCAGTAGCTTTGTTAATTGCACAAAATCATGTTTGTTTTTTTTTTCCATTTAAACATTATCACACAATCCTATTCTGAAAGACAAATGTTCATTAAAAACAAAGCAAAAATAAAAAATCACAACCTTAATTACCTAGATTTGTCGTTTAAAGGAAAAAGGTGGCAGGGAGGAAGGTAGAGGAGGGGCTTTTCTTACAAGCATTTTCACAAGTGTCACATTTTCTCCTGAAAAAGGAAGGGTTTCAAAATAAAGGTGAAATAGCTATAACAGAAATAAAAAGTCATAAAAAGGAACTTTACAGAATGTCACCAATATTAAGACAACATTGACTAACCAGTTTTATTACAGCATCTCCCCCTACCCCCTTTGCCTGTTTCCCACACGGGATGATGCAACAGGCTTTGTATTCAGACAGAAATGAGTTCAAACCCAGTGAAATTACAATGGTGCCAGAAACCCCATAGGCACCCACCCCCGATGCTCCCCTCTCCCCATGACCTCAGCTCACCATGGAACAAAGGACTCAGGTTGTGGGGGGCCCCACACCAGTGTGGCCACATGGTTTATATATATATAGAATTATGTATTTCCCTATAAATGCTGACCTTCTGCAAACTGTGACTTTGGAAAAGGCAGCCCAGGCTGAGGGAGAAGGCTGACATCTTAGGCGACTTCTCCTTGTTCTGCAACACTCCAGCCCCGCTCTAGTCCCCTATGCAAGAAAGGCTAGGGCCTCTGGGGATAACACCCCGCAGGTGGTGACACAGGCTGGAGGGAGACACTTTTTCCTGTGCCAAGAGAGGAGCCTAAGAAATGGTCACGCTGCGTCTGGGCTAAAGATGGGACAGACAGAAATACTGTCCCCGTGGGGGGGGGGAGAGGGGAGGGGCAGCATGCAGGGAGGGGCTGGGTCAGAGGGAAGAATCTTTGACATAACGGAAATGCCCCCTCACTTGTCACTCCTCACTGGTGGCCCTCAGGAGCCCTCTCCCAAGGGCTGGAATGCAAGTGCAAACACTCAGACTGCCCGGCGATGAGAACTCTGATCCCAGCCCAGGGCTCCGCAGGGCAGGAGGGGTGGACAGGGACCTTCCTGGAGAACCGCCTTGGCTCTGCTGGACACTGCCCTTCTCCTTTCAGCTCACAAAGGCATTCACACAGAGGTGGCTGCACGCTGGTGCCTGATCATGTGACTCCTCATTGGCGGTCTGCTGGGGTGGGCCATCCCACAGGACCCTCCCTCTAGAGTCTTGTGGGAGCATCTTGGCCCAGCACCTCTCTCTGCAGGGGCCTGGGGGTGGCAGGCAGGGGGACGTGGATGTGATTACTGCCTCCTCATTCTGGGGGAAGCTGTAGAGAGCCTTCTCACTCTCACTGATTCTAGTTCCTTGGCTCCAAAGCGTACGAGCTAAGAAGACAATCTTGAAGAAAACACAAAGCCAGGCAGCAGTTTCTGGGCAGTGTCTATCCTGGATGAGAGAGCCTGTGTGTGTGGGTGTGTACACAGCCACTCAGGCCGGGGGTCAGTGTCCAGTACCCAGTGCCAGAGCTTTCCCACAAGCCACTCCTGCCAGCAGCCCTCCCTCCCCGGGCCCTGTGTGCTGCACTGATGGCAAGTCTGAGAGTCTGTAGAAAAGGAAACGGAGATAGGTGGACTGGTCCAAAGCGAAGTCCCAGGATCCCGACCCCGTGTGAGGAATAGGGGTCAGAGGGAAGATTGGGGGGTGGGGTACGGGTGCTGACGGCTTAGTGTATATAGGCTCGGTAGACGGCAGACATATCATTGTCGGACTGGTCCAGTGCCTTGGCTCTTTTGTACACCTGGAAAACAGGAGACAGGGATCAGCCTCCAGGCTTAGAGCCCACTTTAAGACTCGGGCCTGACTCTGGAGGCCACTCCACATGTACACAAGTAGAGAGATTCTGGAGGTGAAACTGTTGAGGTGCAAAGCCTGGCTGCTCCACGTGTAGGCTTGACTTGGGGCAAAGCACCTGCTAAGCTTCTCTGGTTCCACCACCTCCCCACCTTCACTGGACAACGTGCAGGTGAAATGCAGCAAGAAGTGCAAGTGCTCAGTGTGCCGCCCCATTAGGGTGACGGCGACCCTCCAAGGTCCTCCCCTCTTCCTCTCTGGCCTTTATCCCTCCGCATGGCTGGCCCCTGTCCACCAGCTCGCAAGGAGTACAGCTGCATCCCAGTGGCTTCAATCTCCTGACTGAATTGATTTTTTAAAATCACATTTTTCCTCTCCCATTTAAGTGTCTGTGTGCTTGTTTGTGTCTCCACAAGAAGGGAAGGAGCCGCACAGGTAACAGTGGTCCAGCGACAAGAGTTGAGTGTGGAAAGAGTTACAGGGCCACTGCAGATGGGCAGTGACGGCCAGTTTCCTGCTGGTGTGTCTGGTTTCAACACAGCCCAGGTGGGGCCGCCACAACTCTGGCGTGAATGTTGGAAGTTATCTGCAATTCCTAAGTGGGCGAGGGGCAGGCTCAGAAGCTCCGGATCCCGCCCACCTGCCAGGTCAGTACCTCACGTACCAGAGAAAAGCCAAGAGGAGGTGTGCTCAACCTGGGCTCAGACCTCGTGGGGAGAAGTTGCACTAAAGACAACATCGGCTTTCAGGAAGCTCTGCCTAACCCCTCCTAGAGGCTGCCAACCAAGCCTCTTTTCGGATTTTTTTCTGTCAGAGAGGTACTGGCCTTGTGGGACTTCCTCCCAGCCTCGCCGTAGCAAAAAGGCTGGGAGAGTAGAGGCACTCAGAATGGTCAAGTAAGCTCCCTACAGACCAGCCCTCCTGCCAATCACAACTGAAAACTGGGCCAACCAGGCTCCCTGCAGGAACCGTAGGGGCTCTCAGGCGGAGAGGCTATAGGGATGAGTTTCCATTATGCTTGCTATTTTGTCTGAAGGTAGGTGAGGGCCTGCACAGGCATGCTGGCTAAGCCTGCTGCAGTCTATGGAACCTGAAGAATCAGAGGGTGGAGTCTGGGGCAGCCGTAGTCTCCGAAAATTGAGGGGGATGTCTTAGAAAGGGGAACATCAAAGAGGGGAACCCTAAAGATTTGCATGTAAACTCTACCCACATCTCTGGTTAACCCCGGAACCACTCATATACAAGCCTGGCCAGGTCAGAACTGACCAGAGGTCAGAGTAGCTGACGAAGAGTTTGATGAAGAGTGTGATGTCTGAAGCCAAGTAGGTTAACTGCTAGCTATTATCACATCAACAACAAAAATCAGTGCTCTTCATTGGAGTAAAATATAATCCAGAGTCTTCACGACATAATCTTCCCAAAGTCAGGACAGAATCCAAACTCACCTAATATATGAAGAAACATGAAAATGTGACCATATTTCATATGAAAAGACAAGCAAAAAAGATTGATCCTGAGGAGACCCATTTTTTAAAAGATTTGGAGACAAAGATTTAAAAGCAATTACTATACTCAGACTCAAGAACACATAGAAAACTATACTCAGAATGAAGGAAAAGACAGGAAATCTCAGCAGGGAAACAGAAACCATATTAAAAAATCACTGGAAGTTCTAAAACTGAAAACCACAATATCTGCAAAAAACTAATTATTCAGAAGAATGGAGATGACAAAGGAAAGTGACGGGATCATTTACACAAACCTTGTGTGAGGAAATGAGAAAGACGGGTTCAGATGTCTGAGGATTTCTCATCAGAAACAATGGCGCTCACATGACAATAGACCCGTATCTCTTAAGTGATGGAAGCAAAAACTGTCAACTCTGAATGAACACTGAAAAGCGACCTCTTCAGGTAAGAAAACCAAGAATTTGCCACAGAGTCCATTTCATGTCATAGTAACTAACCCTAGAGGACAGAGAACTGCTATTTAGGGTTTCTGACACTGGAGACTTTCTATAGGAATTTGTCACCAATAGACCTATATATCACAGGAAATGCCGAGGAAATTCTTCCAGCTGAAAGGAAACAAAACTAGATGGAAACTTGGTTCTGCACAAGGGGATAAAGAAGAGCACCAGGAATGGTTACTCTAGAGAAAGAGAAAATGACCTTTCACACCATCTGTAGCATATGGCTTATCAAGACAAACAAAAATCCCACTACTCTCTGACGTTTAAAGCACAGGACATATCTACCTTAAAGCAGCAGTTCTCAACTGGTGGTGATTTTAGCCTCAGAGGACATGTAGCAACAGCTAGAGACATTTCGGTTCTCACAATTGAGGAGGTGCTGATGCCATCTAGTAGGCAGAGTCCAGGGGTGCTACTAGACACCCCACAGCACACAGGACTGCCCCCGTCACAACCTGCATTCTTTGTGGGGGCCTGAGAGACCCTGCTGTGAAGGATGTGGGGAGGGGTAGGTGATAAGTAGGGATCTAAAAGTCAGTAAATAAAGTGAAATTAAAAAACATTCAAATAATACAAAAGGAGGCATAAAAGGAAGAAGAGGCCAACAAAAGACTGAGAAGGGCAATCAGAAATCAAAAGGATGAATGACAGCTCCCTGAGCAGCCACACCCACTTTCCACAAGGTCCTGAACTAGTGTTTCAGGCTCAGGACAG